AAAAAAAAAAAAAAAAAAGAGGAACACTAATTAGCAAAAGGTTGTGGGAAATAGCGAGGGAGACAGGCCTGCCTAGGCTGGGAGGGAAAAGCCAAGCGAACACAAGGCTGGGCTGGACGCCTTGGCCTGCCCAAAGCGGTGGGCGGGCAGGGGGTGGAGCGCAGAGGAGTGCCGCCTCTCCTCTTTCCCGGAGCCTGGGCGGGGAGAGGGAGGAAAACTTCCTGGCCTGGGCTCTGTCCGCCAACCCTCCAATCCCGCCTACCAGTGCCGGGCGCTTCCCCACCCCTCCCCCGGCTCCCCCAGTGTCCGCCATGGCCAAAGCCTACGACCACCTCTTCAAGTTGCTGCTGATCGGGGACTCTGGGGTGGGCAAGACTTGTCTGATCATTCGCTTTGCAGAGGACAACTTCAACAGCACTTACATCTCCACCATCGGTGAGCCCACTGGCCATATCCCAGACTCCCGACTCCCCCTCGTGACCTCATCCTCAAGCTCCTAGATTACTAGTGACCCCACATTTCCATCCCCTTAGAGTAAGGCTCCCAAATTCTAGGAGCCTAAATTCTGAATGGTACCCAAACCTCTAACCTTTCTGGAGCCTCCAGGTAATTTCAGTGGCTGCCAGCCCCTCATTTTCTTGGTCCTTAGTCTCCCTAGTCTCCCCAAATCCACATGAACCCTTCTCTATTTCCCTCTCAGCTCCTCTTTTCCCTCCCCCATCCACCTAGAACTCTCTTGATCTGTTCTCCACATTTCCTATATTCCTCTCCCCGAGCATCTGTCTCCCAGTTCTCCTAGCCTCTTTCTGTCCCATGAGCTTCAAACTCTCCCATTGCATCCCCACCTTACCATCTACTTCCCAGTCTCCCTGCCCCTCAACTGAAAGGTCGGGGAGGGTGGAATAGGGAGGCTGGGTGTGCTGGAGGGTGGCCCAAGGACTGTGATCATGAATATGCAGTCAGCCTGGTGAGGAAGGTGGAAATGAGGGGACTTTTGGGGTCTGAGTCAGCCTGGTGACTCAACCTCCTCCCTGGGGCTCTCAGCAGGCCTGGGGGAGGTGCCCAAGTTTCTAGTAAAAAGAACATTGTCTCCCCTCCTCCCTTCTCATCTCCTCTGGCCTGGGAAATAAGACAGGAAGAGTCTCAAGACAATTCTGGTTACAAAGGGAAAGGAAAAGTGCCCCTCTTTCCTAACTCAGTCCCAGGAGGAATCCTTTTTAGCCTCAGACTTGCTCGATTCCAAGCTTTGCCCACTAGTTAATTCACATAGACTGGCATCAGCTACTTTTTCCTTTACTCTTTAAAAGAGGGTGGGTGAAGTACTAAGAGTAGAGGGTTCTAAAAAAACAGAAGGGAAGTGGATCATGAAAGTAATATTGGGGCGAGACAGAGACTGAATTGAGAGGGCTGTCAGCTGGCGTGGCTGAGTGAATCCAAGAGATGGTGTGAGGGTTGTAGGCCCCCCTGCAGAATTTTAATCACCTTCTCGCCTCCAGAATCCAAGTAAAAGCCATATTCTTGCTATACAAATACAACATTAGAAGCTGGGTGCAGTGGTGCACGCCTGTAGTCTCAGCTACTCTAGAGGCTCAGGCAGGAGGGTCACTTGAGCCTAGGAGTTCACAACCAGACTAGGCAATATAGTGAGACCCCTGTCTCTAAAACAACAACAACAACAACAACAACAACAAAATAGCTTCAGGAAAATTCTCTAGCTCTGCATTTCCAACAAGATTGCTCCCCTGCAGAATTTCTGGCATTTTGGCACCGCCACTGCTCCATTCCTGTCTCTCTCACCACACACACACACACACACACACACACACACTCACACACACTTTTACATGCACACACATGTCTCAACTTTGGTGCATACCTTCCGCCCCTAGGAATTGATTTCAAGATCCGCACTGTGGATATAGAGGGGAAGAAGATCAAACTGCAAGTCTGGTGAGTGAATCCCCCAGGACGCCTAACCAGACTTCCCCATTTACCTCCTACAACCATTTTCCTTCTGCTTGCTTCATGTCTCACCCTTTCCTGATTGCTCCTTCCAGCACTTCTATCCATTTTCCTCACCTCTCTCAGCTGTCCTTCCATCGCTCTTCCTGCTCTCCCAGCTTGTTTGTTTGTTTGTTTGTTTGTAACTCTTGCTTCCTCTGGCTCCAGAGTATTCTCCGAATTTAATGACAAATGTATATTGACCTATAATGTGGAAACAGACTATCAGCAGTTAAATAGAAAGTAGCAGAATTAAGACTTAACTCCAAGTCTCGTGCTCTCTTTAAATGATGGAGAGCCCAGAAAGCCAATTATAGAGGTTTGACCTGACTGTCATAAGAAAGCCGGAGCCGCTGAACGTGTTTAAGTGGAATGAGGCTTAGTGGAGGCATTATGATATGACATATAAGAGCAGACTGGGGTTCAAATCCTGGTTCTGTTGCTTACCTGCCGCCTGACCCTCATTAGTTATTCAGCCATTCCAGATCTGTTTCCTCATGTGTAAAATAGGGATAATAAAACATGTCTAACAAGGATAGAGTGAGGATTAGATAAAATTGATACATAGGCATAAAACGATACATACTCAGAACTTGACACAGGGTAAGCATTCAGTGAACAAAGAGACATCTTGTTTCTCAGGCCTGTACCATCTTTTAAAGTCAGCCCAACTCTTTCTTCCTTTTCCCCTGTATTATTTCCTCATTCTTTTCCTTTCAGCCCCACCATGTTGCAAAAGCTACATTCTTAGGGAAGGAATTCTTCCCTTGGAAATCCCTTCCCCCTATGCCACCCCATCCTTCAAACCTTCTACTTCTCCAGGGACACAGCTGGCCAAGAGCGATTCAAGACGATAACTACTGCCTACTACCGCGGAGCCATGGTAGGAAGTGTGGGTCCGGACAAGAGATGAGGGCCTGAGGCAATAGAATGTAGTTTTATGAGTTCCTTACCTCCCTTATGAACTAAAAAAATAATAAATTTTAAAAAGAGAATATAATTTTATGAGCACAAAGGGTCCAGGGTTGGGGCAGGGAAAAATGGGGGGTCACAATGCGGGTTGCAGAGGGCCCAACATTTCATAGTGTTAAGACCCATGATGGAACTTGCAGGGTCACTTAGAGGGCAGTGGGGAGCCTAAACAGGAATATAGTCCAAAGTGAAACTTGCCATCCCCCAGGGCATTATCCTAGTATATGACATCACAGACGAGAAGTCCTTTGAGAATATTCAGAACTGGATGAAAAGCATCAAAGAGGTGAGGATCCTCCAAAAGGGTTGGGGGAACTGGTTAGAACCTGGAGGATGAAGTGGGGGGCCACGAGGATAGGCAAGACCCAACTTTTACTTGTCTTATCCTTTTGTCCCCAGAATGCCTCTGCTGGGGTGGAGCGCCTCTTGCTGGGAAACAAGTGTGACATGGAGGCCAAGAGGAAGGTGCAAAAGGAGCAGGCTGATAAGGTGAGGGTCGGGCTAGGCAGTGTTCTAGAACTGAGCTGGGAGGGCCAAAATGAAGTTGGATTGCAGAGGACTTGGGTGCTGCCCTTAATCCAACTCTTTCCTTCCCACTTCAACCCCCACAGTTGGCTCGAGAGCACGGAATCCGATTTTTTGAGACAAGTGCTAAATCCAGTATGAATGTGGATGAGGTGAGACCTGTCCCCCTCAAAGAGATGAAAGATAGATTGTCTTCCCCTCCAAACTGTTCTGACCAATCCCCCCTGCCACCCCCTGCCCTTAGGCTTTTAGTTCCCTGGCCCGGGACATCTTGCTCAAGTCAGGAAGCCGGAGATCAGTAAGTGGGTTCTGCTGGGCTGCGTACAACTGTGTGTCTATGTTGGGGGTAAAACTGCGGAGCTAAGATTTCCCACAAGGGTGGGTTGACTTCGAACAGTTCGCAGCCGCATACCCCAACTAGCCATTCACACCTTTACCCTGTATCCTTCTCCCTCTAGGGAAACGGCAACATGCCTCCCAGCACTGACCTGAAAACCTGTGACAAGAAGAACACCAAGTGCTCCCTGGGCTGAGGACCCTTTCTTGCCTGCCCACCCTAAGCCTGGAAACTGAACCCGAGGGAGGCAGGGCGGAGGGGCTTGGTGGAATAGATGGGTAGATGGTAAGGAGAATGAGGAGAAAATGGAGAAGACAAAAATGAAAAGGAGGAAAGGAGAGGCAGAGAGGGCAGGGAAAGAATTGAGGAAGTGAGAGAAGGTAAGGAGACAGGAAAAGAAGGGAGGAAAGGAAGTAAGGATAGAGGGCCTCAGGCTTCAGACCTTCTCTGGGTTTTCAGGGCAAACAAAAATGTAAATACATTGATTTATTCTGTAACTAGATCAGGTTTTAGGGCCCTGTGAAAGGTTGGCTCAGCACCACTCTCTGAGGTTTTATTCTGTCACTCTGCATGGTCTTTCTTGGTATTAAAGGCCACCATTTGCATAAATGTGCCTGGTTTGGGTACCTCTCATTATTGTTAGAATTACTGTCCACTCAAACTCAATCTTTTTTTTTTTTTTTTTTTTAGAGACAGGGTCTTGCTCTGTCTTACAGGCTGGAGTGCAGTGGCACAGTCATAGCTCACTGCAGCTTCAAACTCCTGGGCTCAAGGGATCCTCTCGCCTCAGCCTTCAGAGTAGTTGGGACTACAGGCGCACACTGCCACACCTTATTTTTTGTAGAGACAGAGTCTTCCTATGTTGCCCAAGCTAGTCTCAAACTCCTGGCCTCAATCCTCCAGCCTCGGCCTCCCAAAGTGCTGGGATTACAGGCCTGAGCCACCATGCCCAGCCTCAAACCAAATTCTTGCTTCTCCAAAGTGGTTGGTCTGCCTGAATCTGGGTGCATTCCTGTGGCACCAGGACTATTCCTACCCCTGTCTCTTCCCCAGCTGTTTAATTGGTGAGGAAAACGGCAAGGAGCAGGAGGCAGAGTGAACTGAATGTCTGGATTTTCTCTTTCTATTATGGGATCTAGAGGACCCTTGTGGACAGAGTCTTGTTCCTGAGTACAGAAAATTGCAAGAGAGAAGGACTCTACTAGTCCTAGCCTCAGGAAAGCAGCAGGAGCTAGCATTGTTCATACAGTGATTTGTGCAAGCTTCTTTGATTCTGCCAACTGTCATCCATTTATATATTTGCCAGGCATTATTATCTGCTTTTATTGGTGAGGAATATGAGACACATGAGAGATTCATTTATTCATAAATATTTATTGAGCATTTTCTGTGTGCCGGGCGCAATAGTTAGTTGACATAGCCTTTGAGTGGTACTCACAAGCAGAGGGACAAGCAAATTTTAACAGTTCTTAACTACTAAATAACAAAGATGGCAAAACTATTGGCATTCAAAAGAACAACAATCGAAAAGTTGAGGTTTGATACACAGTCCCCTTAAGTAAACATAGCTTCCTTTCACCATACACAGTATTTTTTAATTTTTTTTTTTTTTTTTTTGAGAGTCTTTGTCGCCCTCGGTAGAGTGCCGTGGTGTCATCACAGCTCTGCGCAACCTCAAACTCCTGGGCTCAAGCGATCCTCCTGCCTCAGCTTCCCGAGTAGCTGGGACTACAGGCACAGGCCTCGAGGCCCAGCCAATTTTTTCTATTTTTGGTAGAGACTAATTTTCTCTATTTTTGGTAGATACGGGATCTCATCTTGCTCGGGCTGGTCTTGAACTCCCAACCTCAAGCAATCTTCCTGCCTCAGCCTCCTAGAGTGCTAGGATTACAGGCGCGAGCCACCGTGCCCAGCCCCACAATATTTTTTAAACAGCAAAATTATCTCACAGATTTGATCTTTTATCAGGATCAATGAACATGTCAGAGTTGATTAGGACAAATGTACTATTATAATTTTTATTCATGGATACAATATTCAAGGCAATTAAGAAATCCCCAACCCTTCAGTGTAAAAGTGGATGGCTACCCTAGAGTCAGCAGCAAAGTCTCTTTTTGTGCTGCTGTTTCTGCTGGTAAAAGACAACACTCAGAAAAAAACCTGATAGTGCTGGGAGAAATAATAATTAAATGTAATAAAATAATTTAATAAATATATTAAGTTTCCAAGCTTTGATGGGGTAATGATTAGCCTTTTTGTGGCTTATGTTTGAGTTCTGTAGTAAACAGCATAGCTGGTTTAATTTGCTCAAGAGATGAGGAAAGACTTGCATTTTGTGGCTCCCAGGAAAGAGACTAACATCTTCATCATAACTCAGAGCAGATATTTAAAAATCTAGTTTCAGGGTAGAGACCCCTGTTAGTAAGGTTACTGGAAGTGAAATCTTACAAGATCTGACAATTTGTCATGAGATAAGGTAGGATTTGGTAAGGAGTAACAAATATTAGCAGGTTTCAGCCAAAACTTTAATTACAGTTAAAAACTACTGGAAAAAACCCACAGTCTACTTTTTATAACATATAACTATTCAAATACACATAACACGTAAAAATACACAAATAATAACTTAAAGAAACAAATTCAAAATTAGGCATGGTGGTAAACACCTGTAGTCCCAGCTACTTGGGAGGTTGAGGCAGGAAGATCACTTGAGCCTAGGAGTTTGAGGCTGTAAGTATGCTACGATCACACCTGTGAATAGTCACTGTACTCCAGCCTGGGCACCATAATGAGACACAGTCTCTAAAAAAAAAAGCAAAATGAAAGCTCAGCCCTCATCAGGTTTTTTCTTTTCTTTTCTTGTTTTAGAGATAGGGTCTTGCTTTGTTGTCCAGGCTGGAGTGCAGTGGCACAATCATAGCTCACTGCAGCCTTGAACTCCCGGGCTCAAGCAATCCTGCCTTAGCCTTCCGAGTAGCTGGGACTGCAGGCATGCGCCACCATGCCTGGCTAATTTTTTAATTTTTTTGTAGAACAGGATCTCATTATGTTGCCCAAGCTGGTGTCCAACTCCTGGCCTCAATCGAGCCCCCTGCTTTGGCATCCCAAAGTGCTGGTATTACAGGTGTGAGCTGCTGCACCAAGGCCCAGGTTTTGTTTTTTTCAACTTCCATTCAATGGTCTTTCCACAGTCTGGTAGTCTCTGCTCTTGAGAAACCAGCTTTAGGTCTGATGGGAAGACAGAATTTATGAGATATACCACCAGATATACTGTTAATCCCAAAATAAAGTGCTCTACCCTTAGGGCTGTGGGGAAGGGTAGAGGCAGTGGTCTTTAGGCTAGAAAGATGCCTCGGAGGAGGAGAATGTGGAGCAGAGTTAACAAGAAATATGGAGATGATCCCCCCTTTTTTTTTTTGTTTTTGAGACAGAGCTTGCTCTGTTGCCCAGGCTAGAGTACAGTGGTGTCATCAGTGCTCACTGCAGCCTTCAACTCCTGGGCTCAAGAGATTCTCCTGCCTCAGCCTCCCAAGTAGCTGGGACTACAGGCACACCACCACCACACCCAACGAATTTTTCTTACTTTTTGTAGAGATGGGGTCTTGTTATGTTGCCCAGGCTGGTCTTGAACTCCTGGCCTCAAGCAATCCTCTCACCTTGGCCTCCCAAAGTGCTGGGATTACAGGCATGAGTTTCTGCGCCGGGCTCCCCGCCCCCTTTTTTTCCCTTGAGAATAGGGTCTCATGTCTTGCTATGTTGCCCAGGCTAATCTTGAACTCCAGGCCTCAGGGGATCCTCTCACCTCAGCCTTCTGAGTAGCTGGAATTATAGGCAAGAGCAGCTGTCCCCAGTGAGTCCCCAGTGAGAGCTGGGATCCACGTTATTTTATTAGTGCCCATATTTATATGAAGTTTATTTTAAGTACTTCCTTGTCTATTTATTGAGCATCTAAGAAAACTAAATCGCATGGCCCCGTTGTCTGGGAGGCTGTGGATAACATGTATATGTGAAACTAGGAGGCAAATCAGGGCAGAATTAGGATAGTGACCAATACGTTACCAAACAGTAAAACAGGAACTGAATGGGGGTCAAGTCACTGCAGTTCTGAGTCTATATCAAGGTTTAATTCCATGGGGATGTAAATCAGTCATAAATCTTTGGCCTGCAAATTGAAAGTCTAGGCTCAAAACCCCAGCATTCCCACTCAGCAGCTTGGTGACCTTGGACAAGTCACTTATACTCTCTGAACTTACTCATAAAACAGAACACATTTCATTTGCATCTCAAAAAATATTAGAAAATGCACATTAGCATCTTTGTTTTACACAGAACATTGAGAGCCAGATGCTGTCCTAAGTTCATGTAGCTAATAAGCACCTGAACCTAGACCTAATATTTCTTGGAACTTCAAATCTCATGCCCTTCTCATTGTACTAATGATTATTCCATTATGTAGGAGCAAGGGAGAGTTGACAACATTTGAGGAGGCTATCTAGAGGACTAGTTCTGCGAAGTAGTTTACCAATTAACATGAGAGGAGGTAACACTGTTCACCTGTGTAGTGTAGTGGAGTAGCCGCCCAGAGACAGAAGAAAGTTTCACGTTCACCATGTCTCGGATATTCCTGTTTCTGCAGAAAGGAAAAAGTGCAGTTTCGTCTCTATTCCTTGACCTCCAACCCAGCTTCTCCACTGGACCATCGCAGGCGGGGAGGGTGGGATGGCGAAGGGTGTCAGAGAGGCTAAAGCTTAATGGTGAATCCCAGGTTTTTAAGGAGGGAGCAAAGTCCTGGGAGGGCGACATCTTGTGCCTTTTTACACCTTCCTGCTCACCTAGCCCAGAAGGGACAAACAGGTGACAGCCCAGGGAACAACGAATCGAGAATCCCGGCGAGCCTCTGCAGCCGCCATTTCCTCCATTCTCGCAAAGACTACCGGCGCCACAATGCAACGGGACGTCGAGCCAATTCCCAGTGAGCAGCGGGCGAGGCGCCACCGACAGCGAAAGACTACAAGCCCCAGTAGGCGACGACAGGCATTGCCTGGCCTTGCGCCCCAGGATGCTCCGCGGGGCAAGATGGCCGCGCCGGGGGCGGAGGCCGAGGCGGGCTGGTGCTAGGCCCGTGTGTCCCCGCCGGCCCTTCCTTTAGGACCCTGCGGGTTCCGCGCAAGGAACTCGCGTCCCTAGCCAACAAATGGTATGGGCTTCTCTCGTTGTGGCCTCGGGGACGTCCCGATAGAGCCTTTGCCGTGATAGGCAACCCCGGTATTTAGCCGAGAGGACCCGGAACGTCTGGGAGGCCGGCAGAGTAAGGGCCGCCTCTGCGCTCCGACGGAGGCAAGAGGCCAGACGAGCAGGTCCCTGTGTTCCGCCAGGTGCGAGACTGTGCCAGGTGCGACACTGAGCGCTCCATGCCTGCAGGCGTGGGGAGGCGTGGCCTCCCCCAGGGCCGCCACCTCTGCTGGTTGCTTTGCGCTTTCACCTTAAAGCTCTGGTAAGGAGGGTCTGAAGGGAGGGAAAAGGAGGGCACAGAAGTACCGGATCGTCCCTACCTCCGGGGATTGGAGAGGCCTTGTCCATGGACAGCGGAGGTGGAGGTGCCCTGTTTTCTGGATTCTGACTTTTGCCCCTTCACCTCTCCGCCCCCCCCCGCTACAGCCAAGCAGAGGCTCCTGTGCAGGAAGAGAAGCTGTCAGGTGGGTGATTGTCTCAGAACCAGACACCCCCATAGTTTTTTTGGTTTTGTTTTTAATATCTTCCCCATATACCAAGAGCACATGTGGAAAAGGACGGCACCGTCTGGAATGAGGGCAGGCGCTGTGCTGGGAAGTTGGATGGGCAGCGCCTTTGGGAGAAATATTTCCTGAATGGTCTGGGGTTAGCATTTCTTTCCCCTTTTAGTGAGCACCTCAAATTTGCCGTGCTGGATGGTGGAAGAGTTTGTGGTGGCAGAAGAGTGCACTCCGTGTTCTAATTTCCAGACTGTGAGTATGTTTTCTATCCTTTTTTTCTCATATCTAAGCAGTCCCCAAGTCTTATTAAGTGAGCTTTTGCATTGTCTTTTTTTCCTTGTACTTGCGATCTCACCGTATATCAAAGTCTGCACTTGTCTTTCTTCTGAAAATGTGCCTCTTTTTTCCCCAAGTTAATGGCAGTATTCAACTGATAGCCATATTCTGTTAATTTTTAGTATAGTGGGCTCTGGAACCTGTCCTCACCTCTCTTTAGACTATTGCCCCTGAAGTGTTCTTTCTAATACACATTGCTAATCATGCAACCACCACCTCCACTTTCTGAATCAGAACTCTTCATTCATGGTCTGTTGTTGCCTGCCAACTCTTAGCCATAGCAGTTGGGCTTCTGCTTCTTCTGAATGTCAGCCTTTCTGTTTTTGTTGCTGCCCCTTCCTAATATGTGTGTTGGTCCTTTTGTCCTGGCAGAAAACCACCCCTGAGTGCAGTTCCACAGGATATGTAGAGAAAATCATATGCAGTTCATCTAAGAGGAATGAGTTCAAAAGGTGAGTGCCATTTGTCTTTTCTGAGATCACCTCCTTTGCTCCTATGACTTTAGGTAGGTGGTCCCACCTCTTCCTCCTGGTCTGTGGGTAGCATGGCATATTGAAAAGAAGAGGGGATTTGGAGCCAAATTCCTTGAACCCAAGTCCCAGCTTTACTCCTCAGCACTATGTTATTGGCCATATTTTCTCATCGGTAAAATTGGTTAATACTAGCTCTGCTTATCTCACCAGAGGATAAATTAAATGACATATTTGAGAGGGATTTACGTACTATAAATACCTGACTCTGGGGCAGGTGCAGTGGCTCACACCTGTATTCCCGGCATTTTGGAAGGCTGAGGTGGGAGAATTGCTTGAGGCCAGGAGTTTGAGACTAGCCTGGGCAACATAGCAAGACCTTGTCTCTACAAACAAATTTTTTTTAATTAGCCAGGTGTGGTGGTGTGTGTCTGTAGTCCCAGCTACTAAGGAGGCTGAGGTGGGAGGATCTCCTGAGCCCAGGAATTCGAGGCTGCAGTGAGCAATAATTGCACACCTGCACTCCAGTCTGGGCAACAGAGTGAGACTGTGTCTCCAAGAAATAAGAAGGCTGACTTTTCCTCTTGGATATATCTTGGGTAGGCTGAAGTAGAAGGGAGATCAGAGAGAGAAGCTGTCTGGCCTTCCCTGGGAATAACTGTTCCTTTCTGCCCTCAGTTGCCGCTCAGCTCTGATGGAACAACACTTATTCTGGAACTTTGAAGGGGCTGTCGTGGGTGTGGCCTTGGTCTTCGCTTGCCTTGTCATCATTCGTCAGCGACAACTGGACAGAAAGGCTCTGGAAAAGGTCCGGAAGCAAATCGAGTCCATATAGCTACATTCTACCCTTTTATCCTGGGTCTTAGAGACCCTATCTCAGAAAGAGAAAGTGAAATGGACTGATTGCACCCTTGGTCCTTTGGAGCCTTGTGGTGGTATCCCCTTCCCCCATATTCCTCTTTCACATCATTAATGAACAGAATAAAAAGAGTAAAATAGTTTCCTTCCCTGCTATAATTTGGAGCAAGAAGTCATGGGGGCAGAGAGGGAAAGAGGGTAGCAACTTTAGGCTCCGGTCTACCAAATACCTATCTTCCCCTTCTACTTATTTAAAATTTCCGAGATACAATTTCAGCTAAAAAGTTTATTTTTCAGTCAAAACTTGTTTTTCCTCAACCCTATCCCCAAAGAAGAAATAAAATCACAGATACATAACAGAAGTATTTCAGGTGCCCTCTCACATGGGCAAATCTGGCCTCAGGTGTCCTGAAGTGATTCCGGCCTTTGACAGCAGAGACACCTGAGTGGGAATCCCAGGGGGAGGCCCTGGCGTCCTCATTGTGATTGGGAAGTAGGCCAGGAAGATCTCTGTTCCAGCTCACATCTCATCTGCATGCAGCGCTGTTCTCATGTGCCCACTGGGTCCTGTCTTTCCTCCTGTCTTCTCAAGCAGTGTCTTTGTTGAGCCATTGGTACCCTTGGCTCTGGGTGGCTCCCCCAGTCTGGACTCTGCCACTTGAGTCTCCAGATTTTCTGTCATGTCCTTGTGGGTCAGGATATTTCTGGAAATCACTGGGAAGGTTAAGGAAAAAGGTTAATAGTAGAGTGGTCCCCTGGGTGGGGGACCCTAGACAGGACAGGACCTCCCTCCCGCTCTTGACTACCAAGGAGAACAGAGCCCCTGCTTGCTTACCAGGGGTCCCTCCCTGCCCTTGCCTCTCACCTCCATGAGGCTGGTAATCCTCAGGCCCAACTGCTGGTAGACCCTGAAATGGGCTGAAGCTGGGCAGAATGATGAGAGCCAGGGAAAAAAGAAGGATCTGGGAGGAAGCAAGAGGACACTTGGGCTGTGGGGACAATAAAAGAAGGGAGCAGAGGGCAGAGTGAATGTAGGGCAGTTGGGGTTATCAAGTGTGAGAAGATAGATGTGCCTGGGTGGGGGCTGTTGGGATGGAAACGTGGTGGAAGACGGAGGAGGTGGGCGAGAGGGAAGTAGACTAATGGTACCAGAACACAAGTGCTGGTCTGGGCAGCTTTGTTGGAGGTCTGAGCAATGAGTGCCTGCAGCTGGCGGAGCTGAGCCACCAAGGAGCTGGGGAAGGAGGAAAGAAGAGTTAGTATTTTCTGGGAACCAGGACCCAAGAATGGTGCCCTTGTGCTGCACCCTCACCGCCTGCAACACACACATGCACACCACGCTTTGACTTACGTGTTGTGCCTCTCCAGCTCCTGGACTTTTTTCTGTAGTTCCTGGTTCTGTGCAGAACAGGCTGCCACCCTAGAGAATGTGGAGAGGTAGGACAAGACTCAGCACTCTGAGTCCCTTACCTTGCCTGCCTTGGTGAGGAAGGGGGCCACAGGAAGTCAGAAATGTGAGCCCAAACATACCTAACCTCTAGCCCATCGATGTACTCTTTCTTCCGCCGCCGACTGTCCTGAGCTGACTGCTTGTTACGGATTTTCCTCCTGACCTTCTTGAGGACCCTCTCCTCTGCCTGGAGACACAGGGTGTGTCAGTCTTGGACCCTTGACTTCCCTCAGCTCCCCAACGCTTCCCCTGGGATGCTGGCTCCTGAGAGGCCATGGCGGAGCCCCTGGGTTGGGATACCCTTTGGGGAAGTGTGTTACCTTGGTGAGAGGCAGGTGAGAGGGCAGAGAAACCCCTTCCTGCCCCAGCAGACGCTTCTCCTCATCTGTCAGGAACAGGGTTTGACACGGCAGCTGGGGGCGGTGGGCAGGAGAAGTTGAGATGGGAGTGTGCAGAGGGTCATCCCATTTCCCCGCACTAGGCTGTCCCCCCTGCATGTCCTCTGGAGAGTGTTTCCTGTTTGTGCTAGGGAACAACTCCAACCTGGAGGTGAGGTGAGGTGGGGGCAGAAACCTTAATTCAGACAGGCACTGGATCAAGCCAAAGGGACCTCGTGAGGCTGAGAAGGGGGAGAGGAGGTAGTTCTGTCATAGCCTTCGCCCAGAGACTTAGGACCTTGGCACTCTGAGCAAGCCAGGGAAGGCTTGCAGCTGCCTGTCAACCACAGGGAGCGACCTGGGACAGTGGCCTGTTCTCCTCTAGGGTCTGAGCTCCACTTTTCAAACTGAGGCTCTGTCCCCTTTCAGACAAGGAGCTCCCCAAGGGCAGCCAGACTTCTCATAGCAAATCACAGCAAAGTATGTAGAGAGACTAGCTGGTATCTGGTTAACCTGAGTTGATGGCAACTGAGTCCTTGCCTTTCTCACTAGTATTTCTTTTTGAAAGATTTATGCTTCACTTTGCGACTTAAGAATTTGCTGAGTAGTGACAAAATTTTTTAAAAGGGAAAAGAAAAAAAGAATTTGCTCCACTTTTCAGACTGAGGCTCTGTCCCCTCTTGGCTTTTGCTTCCTGAGGGTCTTTGGCAAACCATTTTCTATCTGCCTTTCCTGATGCTCCCTTCTTTCTCTGGTGACTGTTTGGTCAAACTATTGGAGGGGTGAGTCTTCCAATCCACCTAATAAAATGTCTGACAATGGGGCCTAGAGAGTTTTATCTAAAAAACAAAACAACCAAAGATATGCTGGTGCTTCTAATGTACACCCAAATTTAGAAGTGTTAGACTTTTTATTTTTTTTTTTCAGACAGAGTGTCGTTCTGTTGCCCCAGGTAGAGTGCCGTGGCGTCATCATAGCTGACAGCAACCTCCAACTCCTGGGCTCAAGTGATCCTCCTGCCTCAACCTCCCGAGTAGCTGGGACGAAAGGCATGTGCCATGACGCCTCGCTAATTTTTCTATTTTTAGTAGAGACAGGATCTCACTCTTGCTCAGGCTGGTCTCAAATTCCTGACCTCAAGTGATCCTCCTGCCTCAGTCTCCCAGAGTGTTAGGATTACAAGCATAAACTACCATGCCCGGCCAGCATTAGACTTTTTAAGGTCCCTAAGCCCAAGATTCTAAGATGCTTGGCTTGGCTTCTGCTCCTAGCTTCAACTATAGATTTAAAGAAAGGCTAGCACCTGTGCCCTGCCTTTTGGGCACAAGGAGTGCTTTCCAAGGTAAAGTCCCCCACTGTAGGACCCTGCCCAGCCAGCCTTGGGAAAGGCATTTAATGCGATACTCTGCTGCACCGTAGCACTGGCCAGTGACTGCCTACTGGGCAACTGTTCCAGTGGAAACTGCTGCAGTCGTTTCTCCTCCTTCACCCTATACCCAGTAACCAGTTGGATCCCACGTGGCCTGTCCTATTTCCATGCCCTCACCCAAGACTAAGACAATGGCTCTGGCTAAGCATACAATGCACACAAGGTCTAGGCTTCCTCTCGAGGCCTGTTCCCAGATTCTCCTACCTCACCTTATCTCCAAGGGCTCTCTCTCTCCCTTGTCCTTTCCTGCTCTTAAAATTGCTCATGTCTCCTTGGTCTCCAAGCCCAGTGCAGGAAACATTGGGGCAAAGACAAGAGTTCATCATCGGGCCGGGCGTTGTGGCTCACGCCTGTAATCCTAGCTCTCTGGGAGGCCGAGGTGGGCGGATTGTTTGAGCTCAGGAGTTCGAAACCAGCCTGAGCAAGAGCGAGACCCCATCTCTACTAAAATTAGAAAGAAATTAATTGGACAACTAAAAATATATAGAAAAAATTAGCCGGGCATGGTGGCACATGCCTGTAGTCCCAGCTACGCGGGAGGCTGAGGCAGGAGGATCGCTTGAGCCCAAGAGTTTGAGGTTGCTGTGAGCTAGGATGATGCCATGGCACTCTAGCCGGGGCAACACAGTGAGACTCTGTCTCAAAAAAAAAAAAAGAGTTCATCATCGGTTTCCCCTTCCCTCATCCTCTTTGCTGCCATCTGCGTGATCATGTATGTGTGTATCAGGGAGCACTGGTTCTGGCTGACACCAAGACTCACCAGGGTCGCAGGAGGCATTGGGGCTATGGTGCCTGCTCTGGGCAGGATGTGGGCATTAGCATCAAAGGGCAGCTCGCTGACCATGCAGACATCAGGCACCAAAAATGATGGGCTCCACTGATCTGAGGGAGACAGAAGTGGCTGGGAGAAAGAGAGTATACCCTGACAGCAGCAGGGCCTGGGTAGTGGCAAAGGTTGGGGAAACCCCTTTAACTCCATGCCTAGGGCTGGACCTAAAGGGCCATTGTCCCCTTCCCACAAAGAACACTGACCTAGCTGGATGGAGATGAGCCCTACATTGGGTCCAGCTTCCCCCTGCATCTTCTCCAGGGACCCTGTCTCATAGACAACCTTATAGAGAGCAGGAGAACAGGGTGCCCTGGGGGCAGGGGGACTGTCTGGATGGCCAGGGTCCTCAGAGATGGCACTGTCACTGCCAGGAGATGGTTCTGAGCAGTACACCTCATTGGGATCAATGAAAAGCTTCAGGAAATCTTCAGGCTCACTCTCTTGAAGGCCCTACAGTAGGAGAGGGAAGAATTTTGGAAGTCCTACCTGACATCAGACCTAGATGATTCATGCTTCAATTTCAATCCTTTCTCTTCTTGGCCATGGAGATAGTTATAACTCATGTCTACTTTGGGGTCTCTGTTTCAAGACCTCTTGCCACCTGGGGATTGAAGCCTGTTGGGGTTTCTTATCACAGAGTTGCGCCTCAACCCCACCCCCACTCCCATTCATCACACTCACACAGCCATGGCCCTCACTGGACTCCAAGCCTTGCAGCCCCTGTTCTTGTAGCCTAGTCACTGGGATCTCTGGAGGGGGACAGTGGAGTCCCAGCTCCAGGAAGGATCCCGTCGAAAAGATATCTTCTGGGGGCTCCAGCCACGAGTCCAGCAGGTCAGGGGTTCGGAGATCCATGCTTCTGTGGGAAGGCACGTGGCACGGAGAGTTGCAGAAGGGGATGATGGCTGTCCCCTATCCCCCACAGCTTCTGGGCTCCTCTGCCCCCTCTTCCATTACCCCCCTTCCTCACCTGTGCAGCCCCCTCACCTGTCGCCTGGAGATCTCGCCTCCATCCTTATCTCTCAGGTTCAGACAAACGAAGCCCCCCGGGTATTACC